CTTGCAAAATGTTTCGTAATCCTCATCTCATCGGCATTTGTTCAGTTTTCTTTTTTTTTTTCTCCTTCCACTAGAAATGTTATTTGAACTTGGACTCAAGTGTCCGCTCTGATTGGTCAGACACACCGGCCCCATTCCTGGGCCAACTTTCAGCCTCTGCTGCTCCTCCGCTCTCATTATACAGTAGATTTTTTGTTGGAGGCCTCAGGAAAAACATGTGTTCCCGACATATTGCATCATTTCGGAATTCACTTTTTTTTTTCTGAACTCTGATTTTCCGAGACAAAGAACACGCAGTGCTAATAGCGGTCGACGTTTTCAGGGTAATGTCTTCAAAATAAACACATAATTTTTTTTGTGTGTGTTCTGTTGTATGGAATTAGGATTAATGCATAGAGATCAGCATCTCCGGGTCGCCGCGTGCTTTGCAGATGTGTGTTTATTAAGTTTTATTGGCGGCCGCACCTGTAAAATGCGCAACGCTGATTTCTTTTTTTAATTGCTTTTAATATATGTGATCAAACGGCTTTTATTTAACCAGAGCCTTTTTTGCCAGATGGTGACCTTGTTCTGTAAGGTGGAGACAGGCTGCGTTAACAGGTTCTGCGCTGTCACTGGTCAGCATCAAATTTCTTAGCAAAGGAACTTCCCTCTGCTCCCGCCTCCCAGCAGTGCCTCAGGAGTTTAGCTCTCCCTACTTTCTCCTCCCAGCAGTAGCTCAGCTCCTTCTGCTCCCTCCTCCCAACAGTGACCCAGCAGCTCAGCTACCTCCTCCCAACAGTGACTTTTCAACTTAGCTCCCTCTACTCCCTCCTCCCAACAGTGACTCAACAGCTCAGCTCCCTCCTCTCAACAGTGAATTTTCAGCTAAGCTCCCCCTGCTCCCTCCTCCTAACAGTGACTCAGCAGCTCACCTTCCTGCTCCCTTATCCCAGCAGTGACTCATCAGTTCAGATCCCCTTCTTTCCTCTTCCAGCAGTGATTGAGCAGCTCAGCTCCCCCTGCTCCTTTCTCCAGTCAGTGACTCAGCAGCTCAGCTCCCCCTGCTCCCTCCTCCCAGCAGTGTCTCCAACTCTCTCAGCATGGTTTCCCTGAACCTCCTGTCCAGAACAAGATCACAAGGGACAGAGCAGTCTCCAGCAGTTGTCCATCCCCTAGCTACCTGTTTGCTTGTGGAGACACACCCAACTTACCATCACACACAAGGGTGGCTCTATAGAACCCTGCAGGGGAAAGACGTCACCCTTAGGCAGGTTCACACCATTTCCTGGACCAGATCTGGAACGCAGTGCATTGTGTTTTGCCATGTTGTTACTGCGTTTTTACACCGATTTTTGCCTCATTCCGGAGCTTTCTTTTTAGTTTAAAATGGGCTTCCAGGAGAGTTTGAGTGCATTGTAGACCAGACAAAATGAGACGTGCAGTATTTTTCTGGTCTGCATCGGACTGCGCTGCTGTGAACAGAGACCAGAGATAGCATAGGGATACATTAGGATGCATTTTGGGTCAGGAAACTGGTCTGGAGATGATCTGGATGTGGTGTGAGGGCCCCTTCACACCACACTTACAATGGATTCTGCTCTTTGAGATTTAAAAGTTTTAGTTTCCTGCAGAATCAGCTGGTCCCCTGAGCACTGGCCATTCAGGGCCCTTTCACACCAGACACACCAATGCGTTCCGGCTCGATTCGGATCGCATTGTGGCCGGCTCACTTTGCTGTGGGGCGGGAGGGGGCGTGGTGGTCCATTGAAGTGAATGGCACCGTAGCCACACCCTCCAGCTGCAATGCGATTGGCTGTACAGGAACATGTGGCACATCAATGCCTGTGTTACGGTCCGGTCAGAAAAAATTGTGCTTGCAGCATTTGTTCTGACTGGACCGCAGGCATTAATGTACCGAAGAAAAAAAAAATGTTTTCCCTACGGGATGTTATAGAACATTTATCATTACCCAATTTTTTGGTAAAATATAAAAGACGGAGTCACGTCCAGTAAATAGACACCAAACATGACAAGCTTTAAAATTGTGCGTGCCCGTGAATTCGCAAAAAAACTACCATACCTAAAATTGGCCACTCATCAATTTAGTGTTAACAGAGATTGGCCTAGAATTATTGCTCGCACTCTGACATTTGTGGTGATCTGTAACACGTAGGTGCGCATGTTTATAGGGGCGGGGGACTGAAAACGTTTTTTACTTTTTTTTTTATATGCGACTTTAATTTTTCTTTAAACTTCTTTGTTTTTTACACTTAATTTTATTGCTATCACATAGGGGATAACAAGCCCCCTATGTGATAGCAAATATACAGTGACAGGTCTTCTTTATGGAAACATCAGGGGTCTCTAACAACCCTAATGTCCCCTGGGGACCCCCAAAGAAGCTGGTGAAGCAGAGATCGGCTTCACCGGCTTCTTCTTCTGGCTATAGCAGCTGGAGAAATGACAGCTAAAGGCGGAAGTGATGTAATACACATCACTTCCACCTTCAAGCATAAGAGGAGGGATCAGCAAGTAAGAGAATGCTGATCTCTCCTCTATTCTCACTGCAAGTAGCCGCTGTGCCGGTCCAGAGCCTGCAAAGGGGGACAGCGGAGCCCGGGATAACCGGCAGCGGCGGTGGATGACGAGGGAGGGGTGGGGAGCGGAGGGGGGAGGCTGCATGTTTCTTACCATACAAGCGATCAGGCTGAAAAAATTCCCTCGAACGCTTGTATCGAACAGCGGGTAACGGCTGTTAAAACAATCTTCAGCTTGCGCATGCTAGGAGAAAAAAAAAAAGTACATGTATGTCCACCCGCCATGAAGAGTCCGCCGTCCATCCATGTATTTACAATGGCCAGACGGCAAGGGGTTAATTGCCACCTAGTCCTGCTCAACACAGAATGTGTAGATCAGCAACAAGCTAAGTGACTTTTTAGTATATCCAGGGCTGTATTTCCCAGAAGGCCAACCAAGGCCTGGCCTTGGGGCAGCAGGGAGTAGGGGGCAGCAGGGGTGTGGAATTCCTATCTTCTGACGCCCGGGATATGCAGTTCCGGGCACCAAGCGGGTAGTTGTTTTCTACATTCAGCCCTGTTTTGGGCAATCGGGGCTAAATTGGGGGGGGCGCATTGAGGAACCTGGCATCGGGGCAGCAGAGAGAGTAAATCCGGCCCTGAGTATATCCTCTTATAGAAACCTTTGCATTTGCTAGAGAAGGGTATAGTGTTTGCATGCGTATATATGTATCAGCAGCCTGTATGTTTTTTAATTGCTTTACCTGTAACTAAGTAGTTTGTTTAAATAGCATTCGTTGTATAGTAAAAGCACATTTCAGAGGACTACAGACAGTACTCCATGGGGAGTCAAGGGGACCGGCCGAATTGGGCCACTCACCAGCAGAAGCAGCCTCAGTGAGAGACCAGGATGGGGGGACTGAGGTGGGTATAGTTTCCTTCAAAACGTAAGAAAAAAAACCTCTGCCTGGATAGATTAGAGTGAGGAGCGAGGGAGTTAGGGACGGCATTGAAATAGATTTTGAGTGGAGTTGGGCTTTATTGTGCTTTAGGTCTCTAGTTGAATACAACTTGTTGAGGCTGCTGGCTGGATCTAGAACCACAATATGTTTTAAATATACGACTTGTAAATAAATGGAATCCTTTGGAGTTGGCTAGTACACCCGTGGGTGTGGGTGCTCTCCATAAGAAGCGTAGATTAATAATGCTGAATCGGCTTTATGTCTGCTGCCAGGTTCCATGACGGACAAGGGAAATCTAGAAGCAAGGACATTACAATGAAGCGGGGGAAGTAATGCCTCGGAGGACAAATAGATGGAGCAGCATTAAAGAGTACCGAGGAACAATTCTTCATTAACTGCAACTGAAATAGAAAGAAGGTCATGTCATCTAAAGCACCCACATGAAACATAAGCCGTCAGACAAGGGAATAATCATGTGCAGAGTGATGACACATAGGAACCTTTATTTCACCTATGATTAGTGGAATATCAACCCTGATTGTTGTTGGTTACTTCACTATGTACATAGCTTTTGGCTTATCTGACTATATGCAGAGAGCATTAACTACACTACAATTAATTGATCGGTCTTATTGTTTTTTTTGGAGTTCTCATACATCTGTATTATAACCTATTTACCGTTTTGTTAAAGATTGCCCTGTGGCAGTAAAAACAAAAAAACAAACAAACATCTCTTTAAGAAAAAAAGCAAAAAATACTTCACCAACTATGCCCCCCACAGACTTACCACTTTCTGGTTCCAATGGTTCCAATGTGTGGAAAAAGTCAACATTTTCCCTGTAGTGTATCTACGTTTTCTTACATGTGTAGGGTAAAAAGCTTTTCTGAGCCTACTCTAAACACTAACTCTCTAGCCTTTGTGTGTAGGTACAGTGACCAATGTCTGTGGGACGCACATGCACATGTTGCATTATGCAATGCAATGTGCATGGTGGGAGTGTGAGTACTGCAGAGTGAAGAGGGGAAGTAGAAGATTGTGTGTGCTGGAGCAAGGATACAGAGGAAAGACCAATATGTGTGCTGGAGGTGGGATCTAACTAGATAAAGACCAGTGTTGGTGCTGGAAGAATGATACAAAAGAAACACCAGTGTGTGTGCTGGAAATGGTATTTCATGGAAAAAAAGACCAGTAGGTGTGCTGGAGGTGGGGGTCTCACTAGAGAAAGACCAGTGAGTATCCTGGGGGTGGAATATCACTAGAGAAACAACCAATGTGTGTCCTGGGGTGGGATCTCACTGGGGAATAAATGTGTGTGCTGGAAGTGTGATCTTACTAGAGAAAGACCATAGGGTGTGCTGGGGATGGAATTTTATTCAAGGAAGACCAGTGTGTGTGCTGGAAGAACGATACAGAGGAAAGACCAGTGTGTGCGGGAAATGGTATTTCACCAAAAAAAGACCAGTGAGTGTGCTGGAGGTGGGATCTCACTAGAAAAAGACCACTGTGTGTGCTGGAGGTGGGATCTTACTAGAGAAAGACCACTGTGTCTCCTGGGGAGGGATCTTACTAGAGAAAAAAACAATGTGTGTGCTGGAGGTTGGATCTTACTAGAGAAAGAGCACTGCATGTGCTGGGAGTGGGATCTCATTAAAGAAAGATCTGTGGGTGTGTTGGAGGTGGGATTTCACTAGAGAAAGGCCAGCGCATGTGCTGGGGGTGGGATCTCACTGGGGAAAAACCGATGTGTGTGCCGGAGATGGAATCTCAGTAAAAAAAAGACCATGTGGTGTGCTGGGAATGGGATCTCATTAGATTAAGGCAAGTGTGTATGCTGGAGGTGGGATCTCACTATATAAAGAACAGTACATGTGCTGGGGTGGGATCTCACTAGATAAAGACCAGTGTATGTGCTGGGGTGGAATGTCACTAGATAAAGGCCAATGTATGCTGAAGGTGGGATCTCACTAGAGAAAAACCAGTGTGTGTGTGCTGGGGTGGGATCTCACTAGATAAAGACCAGTGTGTGTGTGCTGTGGTGGGATCTCACTAGATAAAGGCCAATGTGTGCTGAAGGTGGGATCTCACTAGAGAAAAGCCAGGGCATATGATGGGATCTCACTGGGGAAAAAACAATGTGTGTGCCAGAGGTGGGATCTCGCTAGAGAAAGACCAGTGTGTGTGATGGGGGTGGGAAGTCACTGTGGAAAAAATGTGTGTGCCAGAGGTGGGATCTCACTAGAGAAAGACCAGTGTATGTGTAATGGGGGTCGGATCCCACTGGGGAAAAAACAATGTGTGTGCCAGAGGTGGGATTTTACTAGATAAAGTCCATTGTGTGTGCTGGGGGTGGAAAGTCACTGGGGAAAAAACAATGTGTGTGCTGGGGATAGGATCCCACTAGAAAAATACCAGCTGTGTGCCGGAGGTGGGATCTCATTACAAAAAGACCACTGGGTGTGCTGGGGATGGAATTTCTGCTGCTATATTTGAAGATCACAGTGGATGCTATGAAGTAAAAGCTTACTTAACCTTGTTTAATCTCGTAATATTTCCTCCGTTGTCGAGAACTCATAGTATTAAACTGTTTCCGTGTTTTTACAGGGAAAGGATTCAACAAATGCCATCTTTGTAGATGTTCGCTACTACGTTTTAATCCATGGGAAGAAAAAAAAAACCCGGAGACTTAAAGTTTGCGGATTACGCTCTGCTGCCGGTAGGAAATAGGGCAGTTTGCATCTGCCGTGCTGTGTATTAAACACTGGCTACATTACTAAATCAAGGGAAGGAGGATTGACTGGTTCCCTTGGGAGCATTTCCTTTAAATCTGAATGTTCCTGCTGATTGCTGTCATGAAGAATTAGTTTGATAGAACAAAAATACCTTCTCTGCAGACAGGGGTTTTGCATCAAATTAAAATTTTCTGTCAAGCCTCGAGGAATCTTACACCGGAAATATATTGGCGTCTACATTTAAAGAAGAACTCCAGGCGATTTCAGAAACCTTACTAGTCCAAAAGTAGAATTGGTAAAAATATTTTTAAAAACTATTTTTAAAGCTGAGCTCAAGGCAAGTTGCTGAATACACAGCTGAAGTGAAGAACTTCTATGTGAGCTGTCTTACCTGCCAATGGATTTGTTACTGTGATCAGCTGGTCTGAGCAGTAACACTGCACAGCTTGGTGACCTCACTTTTCTTTATTAGAGATAAGCAAAAGACAATGGTCACCTCTCCAACCCTCAGCCTACTGACTGGTCAACACTCATAATATTCTTCATATGCTTTCCCCTCCTGAAAACAATATTACAGTGCTAGAGTGACAGCAATGTGCAATGTAAAGGATCCATGACTGGTTCACGGTACTGGTGTCCAGGGAACTGTGAAAAGCTTCTATAGAACAGGATTCCAAGTACTTGTGCTGGCAGAATTGAAAGCCCATCTCTGGGCAACAACCCTCCCCCCCCCCCTCCATTCCCCTCTCCCTTCCTCCTACCCATTGATTTTTTAAAAGACCATCATGTGGCCCTCCACGGCATCTTCTCCTCTAGTAAAGGCCAGAGGTCCATTGCTGCAATTTGGACCCATCGCCAACTGGCTTGTCGTTGGCCATTGCAAAGTCACCACACCACCCCTGCAGTCTTCCAGATATGTGTGGACAGCCAATGGGAAGTGAACATGTCACCAGGCAGCAAAGACCTTGTTATCGCTGTACAGTCCGGAAGAGAGAAGACATGGGACCCAGCGGGTCATGTGGACACAGATTTAGGTAAGTGTTTGGGGAAATTTGATTAGGGTTTTTCTTTTACATTGCTGCAACGATTATCTAAAATTCTATAAAAATACCAATACTTCATGAATACAAAAAAATGAACCATTGCAGCGGAGCTACGCCCACACTGCAAGAATTAAGTGCTCATTTGGTCTATGGTCTAAAATAAAAAAGATATACTCACCTTATCCATGCCTGGCTGCTAGTCCGGTCCTCACAGCCTCTTCTCCCCCGGGCCCCGGCAGTCTAAGGCCCACTGACATTATTAGATGTAATACAAGCCCATTGACTTGTATTTTACGTGAGGACACCAAGGGACATACCCCAGCTGGAGCAGAGGGATAGAGAGGTGAGAGATCACTGCTGCAGGACCAAGGATCGGATGAATATATCTTTTTAATTTTAGACCCTAGACCAAAACTAGCACTTAACCCTTGCAGTGCTGGGGTTGCCCCACACTAAGGATTCATTCTTCTTTAAGCTACTGAGACCTGTAAACAACCGGCTTTTTTCAACAGATCATCTAAAAATAGACAGATAAACCTTTGAAAAGCAGCCTAGGGCTTTACCTGCTGGCTGGGCATAGATAGATTGTTTCCTGATATAAAAGCAAACTATATTATAATTAAGTCCTGTGCATAAGAAGCTAAAGAAAGAACGTATATACAAAACCGCTTTATATTCTGTCTAAGGCAGAATTCACTGATGTTGTACAAACAGTAAAAAGCTAGCAGGAAGCAGGGGAAAGCTTTTCTGGCAGAAGAGACACAACAAGACCTGGGGGGTGGGGGCGTGGCCGGCCGCTGGAGAGCTGTTGCCTGTCATGTTCAGGCCGCACCC